ATCTAGGGTGAGACAAGTAGTATTTATTGTAAGAAATCAAGTGTGGTATGTATTGTAATAGGCAGGCTATTTCACCAGGCCACCCCACCCACACATACTATTCTATGATATTTAAGCATCCCAGAGCGATAAAATGTATATACAGTTCACTCATTACTTACCTTAAAAATATTTGTAGTCTTAATGTAGGGTCAGGAGTAAGTAAATGAGATAAAACGAATAAATGAGAGAGAGAAAGAATGAATACATGAGAGGTGACAGGCCAGGCACAGAGTAAACAAACAATGAGACTCCGTGACTATTGTTATTATTACCACTTGTGGAAGTCTCTGCTACCACAGATCACATTTATGTTTATTTATTCTACTGTGGGGTGTATTTATCTTATTTATATGTTTGCATCGTGTTTATTATATAATTTTGAAAAAAATATCATGGATGGATTAATGAAAATGTGTATATTACCGTAATATACGACATTTAATGAGACTCCGTGACTATTGTTATTATGGCGTCACTTGTGGAAGTCGTCTGCTACCAGAGATCACATTTATGTTTATTTATTCTACTGTGGGGTGTATTTATCTTATTTATATGTTATGTATAGTGTTTATTATATAATTTTGAAAAAAATATCATGGCTGGATTAATGAAAATGTGTATATTACCGTAATATACGACATTTAATGAGACTCATATTGTTTATTATCACCACTTGTGCAAGTCGTCTGCTACACAGCTCACATTTATGTTTATTTATTCTACTGGGGGGTGTATTTATCTTATTTATATGTTATGCATCGTGTTTATTATATAATTTTGAAAAAAATATCATGGCTGGATTAATGAAAATGTGTATATTACCGTAATATACGACATTTAATGAGACTCAGTATTGTTATTATCACCACTTGTGCAAGTCGTCTGCTACACAGCTCACATTTATGTTTATTTATTCTACTGTGGGGTGTATTTATCTTATTTATATGTTATGCATCGTGTTTATTATATAATTTTGAAAAAAATATCATGGATGGATTAATGAAAATGTGTATATTAACGTAATATACGACATTTAAATGACTTGATGTGTGTAAGTTTAATTTAGGTACAGGTATACATAAGTATAATTATCAGAGTATATATAAATATGAAATAACTTTTAAAAACTTTTGAAATTTTTGGAGTTTCCAGACAAAATGGAGAGACTTAGTGCTTACTGAGCTCATGGAGAATGTAAACAAACAGGGTGGGGCACGGTGACCGTATTAGAAAGTCAGGTGGGGGGGAGCCGTATAGTGAGTTTTGGTCATAATTTGAAATGTCCGTATTAGCGGAACGCCGTAAAGCGGAACGCCGTAAAGCGGGGCCCTCCTGTATATATATATTTTTATATATATATATATATATATGTATATATACATATATATATATATATATATATATATATATATATATATATATATATATATATATATATATATATTTATATATATATATATATATTTATATAATATAATAATATATATATATATATATATATATAATATATATAAATATATATATATATATATATATATATATATATATATGAAGGGGTTCAGGGAAACCGGCAGGCCGGACTTGAGTTCTGGAGATGGGAAGTACAGTGCCTGCACTCTGGAGGGGTGTTAATGTTGCAGTTTTAAAAAATGTAGTGTAAAGCACCCTTCTGGCAAGACAGTGATGGAGTGAATGATGGTGAAAGTTTTTCTTTTTCGGGCCACCCTGCCTTGGTGGGAATCGGCCAGTGTGATAATAAAAATATATGTAATGTATATATATATATATATATATATATATATATTTTATATATATATATAATTTATATATATATATATTAATATATATATATATATTATATATATATATCCAATGCCCTCGGATCCGATGTCCTCAGATCACGAAAAACACCTAGCTCTGCTGGGTGCGTGATCTTTGTAGGATCGATGGCTGAGTGGATAAGGTGACATGTACGTTGTCTTGTCTCTTGAGGCGGGACAATATGTCGTGGGGTCGAACCCTGGCCTGCCGCAGTTTGGTAAATGATTATATATATATATATATGTGTGTGTGTGTGTGTGTGTGTGTGTGTGTGTGTGTGTGTGTGTGTGTGTGTGTGTGTGTGTGTGTGTCGAGCCATATAGGTAAAAACTTGCGATTCTGGCTTAAATAGCAACGCACTTCTTGCCGAATAAGACAAGCGAAAATTTGTGTTTACCTGGAGAGAGTTTCGGGGTATGTAATAATTTCGCAAAAGTAATTCTGAACCTAACGAAAAATATATATTTCATTGTAAGTATTTTTTTATTATTAAATTACTGTAAATTTATCTAAAATATATTTAGTTGGATTCGGCAAAATTAAATTATGTTTGTTATAATAAGGTTAGGTAAGTTTTCTAAGGTTCTCTGGTACAAAATTATTTTTTACATTAACATAAATGAAAAACATATATCTTCAAACGTATAAGAGAAAATTTTTGAGAGGACTTAATTTTAAATGTGTTCTTGCTAACTGACCAATATCTATCTGTCTATCTATCTATCTATCTATCTATCTATCTATCTATATATATATATATATATATATATATATATATATATATATAATATATATATATATATATATATATATATATATATATATATATATATATATATATATATATATATATATATATATATATATATATATTATATATATATATATATATATATATATATATATATATATATATATATATATAATATATATATAATATATATATAATATATATATATATATATATATATATATATATATATATATATATATATATATATATATATTATATATATATACATTTAGACAAGTACAACTACTGTAGCTGAGTACGTACATATAAAAATATATTAGTATAAACACAACCAAACATACACGAACACAAAACTAACAAGTACTGTGCAATACAAACATACACACGAGCCCGCACCTACATATACAAAAAATATAACAAATGTATATGTAAATGTTTCGTACACACGTGCGCAGAATACACAAGAAAATATCCCCAGATGTTATAGTACACAGTAGCCTCGTCAAGCGGAAGACATTCTTGGAGTTTTTTTTTTTTTGGTTCTTTGGGTTGAATACAAAGGTGTTCTGCTGACAGTAACGAAAAAAAAAGAAAGGTGTACACCAAGCTTTTACTGTGGCATTTCGATATATGTGGAACTTCTCACTGGCGTGACAAAGTTGTACACAGCTCGAAACGTAACTGCAATGAAAGGCTGCTCTGAACCTGCTTTTTCTTCATTCCTTGTGTTAGCTACATTTAGTATCGACATAGTTGAACTTAGGCATATGTCTATGTGAAGAACATAAATGAAATAAGTCTCACTTACTGTATTGGGTTATCCATATTTTAAATCTGTAATAAGAACATATGAATGAAGGAATGTTGCAGTAGGCCTTTTGGCCCATGTTAGGCAGTCCTAATTCACACCCACTGGTACACCCGCCCAACTTATTTTTAAAACTACCGAAAGTTTTCGCCTCAGTGACGCTACCTGGGAGTTTCTTCCACTCATCTACAACTCTATTGCCAAACCAGTACCTCCCTATACCAGTTCTAATTGTGTCAGTAACATGTTACTAGACCATTTACGAGTCCTAAGAACCATTGTACAAATTTATACCAATACCCACAGAACCATTTCTAGTTTTCCAAAATTAAGCTTATCTATGTACCTAACGGGAGGGTTCCTTGATTTATGTGAATCGCTCTTGATCCAAGGAGTTGAAGCTGGTCCTTCCCTTCCTGACTGGCTCCCATCCCATCCCCCAAGAGCTGTATGACTTACGGGTTTAGCGCTTCCCTTGAACGTCATGCACACACTATGTCATCTTTTTTTTTCAACTCATATTACTATTGCACAAACATAATCATAACCATAATTTTGAAAGGGGTGGACCGATAAGCCAGCGGAAGGCCTCGGTCACATGACCAAAAGCTCCAGCTGTGGGTCATCATATGACTGAGACCTGCGTCAGGAAACACTTGTCCTGTTTCATGACAAAACTTACCTAACATATACCAGTTCCACACATGGTGTAAAGTACATATTTGCAAATTATTTTCATTATAATCAGAGACGCGCTAAACCTGTATGGATAAACAGCGCCAGGGAAATGGGAAGCAATCATGTCAGAGCCGAGGATGGGAAATATTCTCAGTTCCTAGGATCAAGAGCCCTTAACTGGCTTCAAGGTGACATATATGCAGATCAAGCTTTCGCTGTGTATTATTATTTATTATAATCAAGGGGGAAGCGCTAAACCCGGAGGATTATACAGCGCCTGGGGGGATGTGGAAGGCATTCAGGCTTAATTCGGGGAACTGGAGCACAGATCCAATTCCCTAAATCAAGAGCCCCTCACCAACATCAAGGAACCTTCCTTGAGGGGTTTCGCTGTGTAGATTATTATTATTATTATTATTATTATTATTATTATTATTATTATTATTATTATTATTATTATCATAACTAAGCGCTAAACCCATAAGGATCATACAGCTTCGTTGTGTAGAGCTTCATCACGCCTGAGAGCTTGATCTATTTATACTGCTCACTCATCCCCTCAAGGGAGGTTCCTTGATGCTGGTGAGGGGCTCTTGATCTAGGGAATTGGATTTGCTCCAGTTCCCTGAATTGAGCCTGAATGCCCCCCCCCCACATGCGCTATATAATCCTATGGGTTTAGCGCTCCCCATGATTATAATAATAATGCTCACTCATGTGTACCTAGTGTCCAGTGACACGTGTAGGTGGTGTGTAGAGGGAGCGCTAAACCCGTGAGGGGTCATACAACGCCTGAGGGAATGGAAGTCATCCAGGCTCGATTCAAGAAACCAAGGCACTGATCCGGTTCCTCAGAAGAAGAGCCTCTCAGCAGGAGTTGTAAAGAGGGCAGCTCACCTGAGTTAAGGTGTTGGAGGTCCTGGATATCACCGGCGTCAGCACAAGGGAACACAGAGGTCCTCTGGCCCGGCCTCGTCCTAGCAGACGAAATACAGCTCCACACTCCATCGTCGGCCGAAAACAAAACCCAGCGGCTTTAGCTTTGTACAGGCCGAGAACCCCTGTTGAACTTTAGCTTTTCTGTTTCCACTCACTGTTAGCCTGCGACTTAGGCCAGTTGCCAATGATAACAGTGACGGCTAGACTAAAATGGGTGGTAAATCCTGCTTGGATCACCGCAGGATGGCTAAACTCTGCCCCAAGACACACACCTGATCCTTCCTGTCACGTTTCACTGTTAAAGGATACTTATATATGAACCGTATTTTCTTAACCAAATTACATATATTTATTCACTAGTAACACTTCACAGCTAGATCCTTATCCTACGGTTAACACTGACAAGCGGATTCGTGCGGATTCGTTTGGATTCGTTGTTAGTTGTAGAGGAAGAACTGATAGCGTCAATATTAAGAGGTAGTAAAGGAGCACTTAGCAACGCCAATAAAGTCCAGCAGCTATCACTTAAGAGGTCGTCCTCGGAACAGTGGCTGTCATTGGCTTAACAAGTGATGTTTGGTGTGCAGCAAACAATCGCTAAGCGTGTAGAGGGTGGTAGGCATGTCCCGAGGGGAAGGAGGGTTAAGTATTAGTAGTGTGGGTGTGGTGGTAGTTAGTAGAAGTGGTAGGAAAGGGGTGGCAACAAGACCTGAGCGGCGGGGCGGCGCGCGTAACCTCTCACTGCCACAGCCAGGAAGAGACTGCAGCTGGCCACTGTGATCTCGCTGGAGATACTTGTGTAGCAGCGGTGGCAGCTGCCTTCCTCTACCAGATGCCACACCTCACCACAACCCACCACTAACCCTCTTGTATATACACAAACATATATACACTGAAAGGTGAATATATATATATACTACTGGTAAAAGCTGCAAAATAACCATAGGTGGAGTTGAATGATTGCTCAGGTATACACAAATACAGTTATATGATAATTTACGTAAGTATATTTGTGTATACTATAATCATATATCTTTATTTACTACAAGTACATGTACGATATAGGCCTACCTGACATCAATGAAATACTACTATATAGAAACCTGCTTGTTATGCTGAGCATTTCGGGCAAATTAGGTCAGTTTTGCCCCAGGATGCGACCCACACCAGTCGACTTACAATCAACATCTTCAGGAGCTTGAAGTGTTGCAGAAATTAGTATGAAATCAAGGTAGATTCGTTTTAGGGAAACGGTTCTAACCTAGATCCATTCCCATGAACGAATCTGCCTGGACTTTCTACACATTTTTGCAACACTGCAAGCTCCTGAAGATGTGTTGATTGTAACACGAAAGGCCTAGAGCTACCATTCATCATCCCATTTAATAAAATGTTGTCTTGATGCTGATGAAAAGCTTTTGATCCAAGGAATTAGATCAGACTGTATGATTCTATGAATTTACTACTACTACTACTAATAATAATAATAAAATAATGATCAATAGAATAAGATTCAATATTAATGAATAATGCATGACGTGAGCAACTGCAACGCATGACACTTCACTGTTTACTTTTGACAACAATGAACTTTTAGAGCCTTTGCAGTGCACTGTTAGGGCTCTTACATTACACTTTCAGACCCCTCATAGTGCACTTTTAGGTCCCTTATAATGCACTTTTAGGTCCCTTATAATGCACTTTTAGGTCCCTTAATAATGCACTTTTAGGTCCCTTAATAATGCACTTTTAGGTCCCTTAATAATGCACTTTTAGGGCCCTTCCAGTGCACTTTTAGGGTCCTTACATGGCAATTTTAAGACCCTTAAAATGCAATTTTATTATTATTATTATTATTATTATTATTATTATTATTATTATTATTATTATTATTATTATTCTGTTAAGAACTATGTATCCATGAAACAAGTAGGGAATTAATTTCATCAGTTAATTTTAATGATAAAAAATACTATTAGGTTTCCCTTGGTATATTGTGGTATGAGGTGGAGAGTGATATCTGCATACATGCATAATGCACCAGAGAAATTTGCAATGTGGGTATTAAACAATGACGGTGATGAAAAATTTGTAGGTCTATTTTTATGGAAAACCTCAGCAAAACGAACAAGTATCTTTTTAGTGAAAATAATTTTTTCTCGTATTTCTTCTATTCGTAACGTAAATGTTTTGAAAGTTTTAGTGTGTATGTGTATATATATATATATATATATATATATATATATATATATATATATATATATATATATATATATATATATAAATTTTTACATTAACATAAATGAAAAATATGTCTTTAAACGTATAAGAGAAAATTTTAGAGAGGACTTGCTTTTAAATGAGTTCTTGCTAACTGATCAGTTTTACCTATTCGGCACGACATACACGTATATGCTACATATATACGTACATAATGCATTTTAAGTCATTGTTTGATAATCTATTATTTTAATGGACTAAAAAGTTAGTTGGAACAGACTATTGTATGTTGAACCACTTAATGTGTGTAGGGAGGCACCTGCACTACTTCCTGACGAAGAAAACTCCACCAAAATATATACAGTATTATGGAAGCTTTTAAATTACCTTCTTCTGTGGAGCGTTGTGTAGATATGCAAATTATTTTAGATATTTTAGGTAAATTAACCTATTTTATCTTACGTAAATTTTAACAGAGTTGAGGTAGGTTGTGTGGTTATCTTCGGTGAAAAATATAGAATTGATATATAATAAAATTGCATAACTTCTTTTTAGCTGTTCTCCTTAATACGAATACTAAAGTTTCCCCGGTATACGACAGCTGGAGAGTAAACTTTAATAAAATTATTGATACAGTGATGACCAAATGTATTACGTAGCTTCAAGTGCAGCAGATCCTATAAAAAATTGAGTTTTCTTAGAAGATAGTTGATGTATTTGTAAAAGAACGTTGGAGAAAAACTTACAAATATGACTAAGTTGAGCTGCTGAAATAAAACTGTCCTTGAATCAAAATCCTTCAGGGGAGTGAGGGGGAGGTCTTGATGCTCTTGAAGGATTTTTCATCCAAGGAACTGGAGGTGTCATTTCTTCCCCCCCCCCCTCCTGGATCAACCGCGCTTGCTTCCCATTCCAGGTTTAGCGATTCATAAGACAATTTTTTTAACACGTCGGCTGTCTCCCACCGAAGCAGGTCACCCGAGAAAGAAGAAACGAAAGTTTTTCTTTTTTACATTTAGCAATTTATACAGGAGAAGGGGTTACTAGCCCCTTGCTCCCGGCATTTTAGTCGCCTCTTATAACACGCATGGCTTACGGAGGAAGAATTCTTCTCCACTTCCCCACAGAGTAATAATATATATATATATAATATATATATATAATATATATATATATATATATATATATATATATATATATATATATATATATATATATATGTATAATATATTATATATATATATATATATATATATATATATATATATATATATATATATATATATATATATATATATTTATATATATATATATATATATATATATATATATATATATATATATATATATATATATATATATTATATATATATATATATATATATATATATATATATATTATATATATATATATATATATATATATATATATATATATATATATTATATATATACACGTTACGCCGCCTCGTATCCAAAGCTGCTGTCCGAAGTATTCGTGCACAGGCAGCCATGATGCTTCAACCAAACCAGCTTGGCTTTGGGGTCTCTCAAGGAAGTGAAGCAGCGGTTCATGCAACAAGGGCATATATCAACAACGTGCCTGAGGACAATGCAGTGGTAAAATTAGATTTCAAGAATGCGTTCAATCTCCTGAAAAGAGACGTGGTATTAGCAGCAGTACAAGAACATTTCCCTGGTCTCTTCCCTTTTGTTTCAGCTGGGTATAGCAAGGAATCAATGCTTCTCTTTGGAGAGCATGAAATCACATCATCGGAGGGTGTCCAACAAGGAGATCCTCTTGCACCATTTCTTTTCTGTATTGCAGTTAGGGAAATCACAGTCAGACTGACCAGCGAGCTAAACATCTGGTTCCTAGATGATGGCACACTAGCAGGTACAAAGGAGTCCCTCCTACATGACCTTACACAGGTAATGACACGGGGACAGGAAATGGGTCTCATCCTGAATCCATCCAAATGTGAAATCATCTCAGTCAGTCAACAAGTGATAAATGCAGTGAGATCAAAACTACCAGGAGCAGCAGTCATTGCCCCCACAAATAGTGTCTTGCTAGGAACACCTCTGGGAAGCAATGCCATTGACACAATTCTCAGGAAGAAATTGGATGAGTTAAGGAGAATGGAACAACGAATAGGCAATCTGGACACCCACGATGCCTTGTACCTTCTCACAAAGTGCTTGAGTCTGCCCAGATTGACATATTTCCTAAGATGTGCACCTTCATATGATAACCCTATACTGCACGAATATGACAGTATTCTGAGGCAGATTTTTACGAAAGTACTTAATCTTACTCTAGAAGATGGGCAGTGGAACCAAGCTACACTTCCAGTCAGACTAGGAGGCATTGGTGTCCGCAAGTCATCACAGATTGCGTTACCTGCTTTTCTGTCCTCGTGTATTGCATCCAGAGAGCTTGTAGCAGCGATTCTCCCTGAACATCTTAGGGACAAGATTGGAGCCCAGGACCAAAAATCATTGACGGAGCAATGATCTGGGATAATCTAACGGGCTCAGAAACCAGACCTGCTCCCCCCAACAACTACAAACAATCGCACTGGGATGGTCCAATAGTGGAAAATATAGCCTCAACGATGCTTCAGAGTGTGTCAGGGAAGGATAGAGCCCGCCTGCTGGCAGTGAGAGCCCCTCATGCTGGGGACTTTCTGTTGGCTGTTCCCAACTCCAGCCTTGGCACACGCCTCGACCCACAGACCATCCGCATCGGTGTTGCCCTTCGACTTGCCGCCCCTATTCTCGCCGAACACAGGTGTATTTGTGGCAGTGAAGCAGCAGACCGATTCGGGTACCATGGTCTTGTGTGCCGTAAATCCGAGGGAAAGATTGCAAGACATGAGGAGGTTAATAACATTATCAAGAGGAGCCTCACAACAGCTGGATGCCCAGCAGTAAGGGAGCCACCCCAACTATGCAGATCTGATGGCGTCCAGATGGTATCACCCTTCAAGCCTGGACAGATGGGAAGCAGGTGGTGTGGGACTATACATGTGCATCTACCTTGGCTGATACCTATCTCCAATACACCAGGGAGGAAGGAGGGGCAGCTGCCAGCTTTAGGGAGTCCCAAAAGTCTAGAAAATATGGAGAACTTGCCCATCATTATATGTTTGTTCCCATAGGCTCAGAGACCCTTGGCTCATGGGGAAAGAGTGCATCTAATTTCCTTAAGGAGCCGGGAAAAAGACTCATCAGGGTAACTAGGGATCCCAGGGCAGCTAGTTTTCTGTTCCAGCGGCTCAGCGCGGCTGTTCAAAGGGGTAATGCATGCTGCATTTTGGGCACACGCCCCAGCTCTGAGGAGCTGGATGAGATTTTCGCCTTATAATCGGTGATACACACGTAACAACATGTATATATATATATATATATATATATATATATATATATATTATATATATATATATATATAAAATATATATATATGCCACCTTTATATCAACAATGTATCTCTTAAATCTTCTGTGCCATATTATGTAATAAAATATTCCTATTGGTAAAAAAAAAATA